GCAGTATAATATCTTAGTAGGGATGGGAAGTTCAAGGGGCTTCTACTTAGACCTTCCTTTTATAATGACTCTTACTGTCTTACTTTTCTTGTTCTTGAGACAAAATACCTGACACTCAAAGGTAGAAAGGTTTTTTTTGCCTCACAGTTGGTGGAGGTTTCACTTTATAGTTGGCTTGCTTTAAGGCAGGGTGGCATGTCAGAGGGGCATTGCAGAGGAGAAACAGTTTATGGCAGGCCAAAGGCAGCAAGCAGTAAGTAATGATCCTCTTTCTGTCCCTTACACCCTATCCAGGTGGGTAGCACTCACGCCCAGGGTGGGCAGCATTAATCCTTGCATTGCACCATAATCAGTCCCAGCATCACTTCCTTGATCCTAGCATTGCACACTAGATCCAGCCACCTCAGAAAACCCCCACCTGTGATCTCCCGAGGCTTTGGGAGGACGTCTAGATACAAGTCATAACACTTATCATTTGGGTCAGACAAGCAATTTGAAAGTTCTGCCAATAGCCAAATATGTCTGTCCTAATTAGTTCAGGAGCTGAAGAAACAATTACAAAGTAGGTCCATCACACAATTGGGTGCCCTGTGAGTTAGATTCAAGCTGAGCATTCCATCTGTTACCTAACCCCTTCATTTAATTAGTGGGTCATGGTGGGATTTTGGGTCCCCAGGAATTGTTAATCTCTGAGAAGTGTGGGTGATTCCTCCCTAATCCACAGTCACCCTAATGCATGGCCTTCAGGCAAGCGTGGATGAGGTAGCTGTAGCATGAACTTGTGGAAACACTGCGGTCTCATGGAATTGAGGGAACGTAGGTTGTTTTGGGGTCTGGAAACTGGGAAGAGGTCTTGATTTTCAAGTCAGTTTTTTACCTCAAGAGTTGGGGGCTTAGTTTTGTTTTCCAGTTATACAGATTGCAAATTTTTAGTAGGCTGTGTCTGGAACACTGATCAGTTAATTGCTTCCAAAATTCTGGGTAGGCCAACGTACTGGATCTGGTGGTGCATAGCTATAATCCAAGCACTTGGGAGGCTGAGGCAGGAGGGTTAACCTGAGTTTCAAGGCCAGCCTGAACTGTATAGTGAGACTCTGTCTAAAAAGCAGAATAAAAAGCAAAACCAGGTGGACCAAGGGATTCTGATTTCTGATACAACCCACCTGTCTTTATAGTAGCTGTTTCTGTTTTCTCTTTGCTAAGTGCTACCCCTTGGCCTCTACTATTTCAGCATCCCATCATTCCTATAAAATTGGGGAGCTCACTTGAGTGGTGGCATCCTCGATGGTAATGCTGGAGGTTGTGACAGTTGCCAGTCTAAGTCCAGAGGAACAGATCCACACTGCAGGAGAGAACAGCTACAGAGCTTTTCAAGGAGGAAGTGGCTTCCTCACTAAAGCATTTCCCAATACCTGAGTGAAAAGAGTGTCTTCTGGGCTTTCTCTCTCTCTCTCTCTGTCTCTCTCTCTGGTACCTGGGATCGAACTCAGGTCCTTGTACTTACAAGGCCGGCAGTGGAACCACTGAGCTAAATCCCCGGCCCCAAAGGATTTTTTTTTTTTTTGGTATCGGGAATCAAACTCAAGACCTTGTGCTTGCAAGGCATGTGGGGGAACCACTGAGCTAAATCCCTCTTCTGGGCTTTCTTAACCAGCACTGTTCACATATGAAAAATCTGTCCAGACATTCTTTCTTCCCCACCTAAGCCTTTGGATTCCCTTCTTGAGCCTTGGCACCTCTGCCTCACTAAACATCACTCATCTCAAATTTCATCAGCCAACTGAGCATTCTGTTAGAGCCACCTCCAGCCTCATGAGGTAGCACATTAATTAAAAAACTCCAGTAAGGGTACTGTGTCCGCAGTGCTATACACCAATGTCTGTGGAATCTACTACCATGTGTGGTGTCCAGCTTTCCACCACTGTGTTATTTGTGTCTTTGATCGTCTTGGTGTGCAAGGGTAGTGGGTCAGGTTGGTTTGTCAACCTGGCTGGGTTTTAAGAGACGCCTAGATGAGCAATTGGCTCATGTGGTGTCCTCACCAGTGCATGAACGTGCTGGTAGGAAGTGGGGCCCAGATGGAGGTGGCTCACTGGGGATCCCTTTGGGGCCACATCTCTCTTTGACCATGGTAAAGTTAGTATATTTGCCTGACCACATTCTTCTGCCATGACATTTCTGTCTTGGAGTCAGCAAACCAGGGTTTGGACATTAACTTCCTTCTTTGTGTTTATAGAGTTTCAATAATCATCCATAATGAGACTATTGAATGGACTTGAATAATTTGCCCCTCTTGGAGACTGGTTTTTCTTCTTTCTTTAGAGCTAGAAGGTCAGTCAGCCGTAATTGTATGGAATAAAGTGGTCAAATGAATAGAAGCCATTGAACGTGGGATATTGAGAAGGATGCAGTTCAGTGTTCACGTGTGATTTGTACCTTGGTTGAATTGTAATTATGGCTACTTATAATTTTCCTGGCTTGAAACCAAAACTTGATTAACTTCCACTATAATTTAATTACTTTCATATACTGTATATGACTTGCTTAACTAGGCGTGGTGGTGGGTGCCTATAAGCTTAGGAGGCTGAGGCAGGGAATGATTGCAAGTTCAAGGCCAGGCTGGAGCACACAGTGAGATCTTGTCTCAAAAAACAAAAAGTATATATACATCTCTATATATATAGAGAAATATATTTCATTATGAGTTTTTGACATAAAGGGAATATTTTAATTTCTGTTGTGACTGAAGCAAGAGCCTAGTTCCGTATTTCTCTGAGTAGAATAGCTATACATCGTGTTTTAGATACCATAGTTTTGATTTATTTTGTCTGTTGTCCTGACCTAAGTATTAATACTTGTTCCGTTTGTTCTCATGTGTCTTGGTTATTCTGACCAGACAGATTTAAATCTTTGAGCAGTTTAGTTTATTGTAAATTTCTATTATGTTATAGTCCTGTATGTTTAGAAAATGTAAATTATACTTTGATTGTAATAGTTTATATTCAACAAAAATATGTGAATAAAATTCAGTGGAGCAAAGATGTTACAAAAAATAGAATCTTAATTTTCTGAAAAACCTACTGGCCAATATTTTTGTCTTTAAGTGAATTTTCCCCGTCTGAATTACAACATTCAGCAGCCATTTCCTGGGCACCAGCTGGGTGTCAGGTGCAGTTGGTAGGCTGGGGACACAGCAGAAAGGCACAGTCCTCAGGGGGCTGAGCACAGAGTGTCTGCATAGGCTGCCGTGAGAACAGGGAGGAAGGGCTCCACAGGCTTCAGGGGGCTTGCGCTTGAAGTGTTTCCGACAGGGGTGACCCCCAAAAGATGAATAGGCTGGAGCAGCTCAGAAGTGTGAGAGGAGCGAGGGACAGTACTGTGGGTGAAGACAGCAGCTTATGTAAAAGAAGAGAGGGGTAGCACACCTACAGGCGTGTAATACCCACTTGGGAGGCTGAGGCAGGAGGTTCGCCACAAGTTCGAGCATGGACTACATAGTGAGTTCAAGACCATCCTGAACTACAAAATGAGACCCTGTGTCAAAAAACAATGCACAAAAGAAAGAAGGAAAGAAAGGAAGGAGAAAAGGAGAGAGGGAGAAAAGAGGAGAGGGGAGAGGGAAAAGGGGAGAAAGGTAGTGGGCTGGGGATTTATCTGCCTGCCTCACAAGCGCAAGGTTCCCAGTACCCTCCCCACAAAAAAGAAGAAAAGAAGCATAGGTAGGTTGGTCTGGCTACATGGTTAGCTTGTGGCAAAGCCAGAGACAAGCAACTCAGTTATCTCTGCTGGTGCTCAACCCTGTGCTTGTTTGCCTGCCCTCCTTCCCTCCTTCATGCCCTCTGCCTTCTCTCCTCCTGCCTCCTCCCCCTTCCTTTTGTTGTTATTAGACTAATAATAGTAGAGGAAAAAAAAAAACCTTGTGTTTGTGAAGGTTAGCAAAGGCTTCAAGACTGTTGTTTAATCAGTTGCAGACTGATTGATTCCTGGCTTCAACTTCTGAGCACCACAAGCATCTCTTTTATGCTATAATTGTCTAGTTAATTTCTCTGTAATAATCTAGAAAGATGTGTATTATTACATTTGTTTTTTTGTTTGCTTTTTGAGACAAGGTCTTGCTGTGTAGTTCAGGCTGTGTGGTGTAGGCCATCCTCAAACTCACAGTAATCTTCCTGTTTCACCTTTCAGAGTCTGTGGTTACGGGTGTGGACCACCACTCCTGGCTTGCCTCAGTTCTTAAACTATAAAAGAGCAAATGTAGTAACATACTTCCTTTCAGATTATTACAGAGAAATTAACTAGAAAGTTATAAGAGGAAAGAGATGTTTCTGGTGCTCTGAAGTTGAAGTTAGGAATCAATCTGTAATGATGAATTAAGTGTCAGATTGTTTCCGTAGTGTTTGTTGAAAAAACTTGCCTTTTTCTGGTGAATTTTGACTTCTTTGCTGAAAACCAGCTGACTATAACTGTGTAGGGTTCTTTCTGAACTTTGTGCTATTTCTTTTTCTCCAAGTATGTGGTCAGTACTACAATGAGTTGGTACACTTACAGTAACTTTTGAGATCAGGTAATGTAATTCCTTTACCTATGTTTTTCTGAAAAATGGTTTTAGGCTTTTTTGGGTTTTTTAAGTTTCCTTACGAATTATGGAATGAACTTGTTATCTTTTTAAAATTCTGCTGGGATTTTAATGTTAATGGCCTTAAATCTGTTGGTCAGTTTGAGAGTCATCAACAGTCTTGATTCAATTCCATATTTTATATTTGTTCTTTTCTGGAGGAAGCAGCCCCTCCTATATGCCTATATTACGAGAAGATACTCTGCAGTGTTTTTAATCTTAATTAGGATCTTATGATTCCAGTAATTAATTTTTTTCTATCTGTAAATTTTTAAAAAGTTTTCTTAAGGCATTTGCTAGATTGGATTATGTTACATTGAACTAGTTGCGATACTTTATAGAAAACAGTGCAGTCTTGTAACTTGTCTTGCATCTGTGTTGTAAGGGTCTCCAACCCAATTCCTGGAAGAGACGATGGCCTTCCAAGAATATGAGAACAGCCAGAACTGGCCAGAAGATGCAGACTTTTGTTTCCAGCCTGGGCAAGTGGTGAACCCTATCCAGACTGGTAAGTGTGGGCTTGTTTGTGCCTGCTAAATAATTGTGTGCGTGATATGCATAGTGGAAATCTTTCAGTATGAAAAGTAAAACATTTTGGATAAAACATTCTAAATGCAGCTCACAAATCACACCCAAAATGTCATTATTCCCCCTGAGCTTCTGGTTAGCCCTTTATCTCCTCCCATTTATCCTTTCTTCTGAGACACCTGATGCTCTGCAGGTCTCTCCTTTCTTTCTTTTTCTTTCTTTTCTTTTTTGGTCTTTTTGCGACAGAGTCTCACTTCATAGCTCAGGCTGGCCTCGAACTCACAGCAATCCTCCTGCCTCTGCTTCCCATGTGCCGGGATTACAGGCATGTATCTTTTTATTTTTGTTTTTGAGACAGGGTCTTACTATGTAGCCCAGGCTGGCCGCAAACTCGCAATGATCCTCCTGGCTCCTGCTGGGATCACAGGTGTGCACTGCCACACCTAGTTATTGGAACTTTAATTATTCAAAAAGGTATTATTACAGTAATAATTGTGCCATTTGTTAAGTTTTGTGCCAGGCACGGTGCCAGCCTCTAAATGCATCTTACGTGTCAAACATTTATTATTATTCTTACTTGACAGAAAACTAACTCACTCAATGTCTATAAAATTCAAAGAAAAAAATGTATATGAAAAAGCATAGCTGAGCCAGGTGTTGTGGTGCACACCTGTAATCCCAGCATTTGGGAGGCTGAGGCAGGAGGATCTCCATGAGTTTGGGGCCAGCCTTGGCTACATAGTGAATTCAAGGCTAGCCTGAACTGCATAGCAAGATCCTGTCTTAAAACAAACAAACAAAAAAGAGGACCAGGGATTTAGCTCAGTGGTGCTGATGCCTGTCTCACAAGCACAAGGTCTCGAATTTGATCCCTGGTACCAAAAGAAAAAAAAGAGAGAGAGATTAGTTTTAGATTCATTCCCAACATGTGATATCCCTCGTGCCAGCTTTATAAGACAGTGTAAGTAGTCCAGAGATGATTTAAAGCATACACAGAATACACACAGGTTTTATGCAGATTTTTTGCCATTTTACGTGATGGACCTGCATGTTCTCAGATTTTGGTGTACATGTGGTGGTCGGGGCATCACTGATCTCCTGTGCATACCCAGGGACAACTGCAGTACACAGACATGAGTCCTGTTAACTTTTTGGTAAGTTTTGCAGTTGGGCAGTATGACTTTATTTTTTTTTCCCCCTAGATTGTTTTGTTTTGTTTTTTTTAAATTTTCTGTTTATTTAGTCATTGTACCAGGGATCAAACTCAGACCCTTGTGCTGTTGAGGCTGTCACAGTGCCACTGAGCTAAATCCCTGGCCCTATTTTCTTTTTTCTAGATGGGGGTTTCTCTACGTAGTTCAGGCTGGCCTTGAACTCGCAGCGATCCTTCTGCTTCTGCCTCCAGAGTGGTGGGTGACAGGCGTGTGCCACCATGCTTGGCCTGGAAGCATCTTGAGGGAGTGATGTATTAGCCTTACCAGAGGTGCTATTTAGAAATGTGGATTCTCAGGACCCAGCTAAAAACCCTCAGGGTAACTGATGCAGAAGCTAAATTTAAGAAAGCTTCCTTAGAAAGCAAGATTTTTTTTTTTTGGTCTTCACCAGCTTGGCTTTTTTTCCCATGTATGAAAGCATAAAGACTGGCTTGCTCATGCCAACCCTGAGTCCAGAATCTTTCCCTTCTCTCAGAATGCCAGCTGCTCACCTCTTCCCCTTCATATGATGTCTACTTGAGGCAAAAATGTCTCGTCTTGAACTTTTTCTGAAAATACTATTTTTTAATAACTTAAATATTTATTTAGTAAATATATTTGAAATGTTAGATTTGTCTGTACTTTCACCTTCTAGGATGTTAGAATTTTCCTTTTCATTTTATACATTTGTTGGCTGATTTCAATTCCAAGAGAATTAAATCTTGGGTGAGTGCTGATACCTACAGGTATAGTGTCCTATTACCTGAGCTTGCTATGGTCAGCATGAACGTAACCAGATTCATCACACAGTATGGCGTGGTGGGAGTCCTTCTGACCGCATACACTGGGTGTGAGTTTTGGATCCCTTCTGTCTTCCAGATCCCTTTAAGATGCACCATGATGACAGTCTGGCAGATCTGCTCTTTGTTTCCAGTGGAACAACAAATGCTCCAGCGTTTATGGGGCAAAATGATCCCCAAGAGGACAGTTATGGTATGGCTTCTCCAATCAGATTTATTCTATTGCGAAGGAAAAATAATGTTTCTTAACATTCATTTTTTGAGACCCATATAACAAAAGATACTTCAAACAGTGTTTATAATTTTGTATTTGTGAATAATCTGGATAATATATTTCATTTTTACGTTTCTGTGGACTTAAGATCTCTCAGAGGGACAGTGTTAAATGAGTTGGCTGCTGATGTGACCCATCTGGCCTCCTGATACTTTAATGATGTTGGCTCTGACCCTGTTCTTTGAGCTCACTAGTTAGTCATCCTGCTACACTGCCTTCTTCCTCACAGTGCTTTTCTTCCTCTGTACTCTAGTTGTCTCCTGATTAGTCTTCCCCTTCCCTTTTGTTTTGTGTGTGGTTTTTGTTTTTGGTACCAGGGATCAAACTCTGGCCCTTAAGCTTGCCAGGCAGGCAGCAATCCACTGAGCTAAATCTCTGACCCTTGTTTTTGGGTCACTACTTAGTTTCAGGCTGGTCTTGAACTCACTATGCAGCAGTTCTCCAGTCTCAGCCTCCAGAGTGCTGGGAACGTCAGTGTGTGCCATCGTGCCTGGCTCTCTCTTGGATTCCCTTTTCTTTCTTTCCTTCCTTCCTTCCTTCCTTCCTTCCTTCCTTCCTTTCCTTCTTTCCTTCTTTCCTTCTTTCCTTCTTTCCTTCTTTCTTTCCTTCTTATACCGGGGATTGAACTCGGGTCCTTGTGCTTGCAAGGCAGGCTATATCCCCGGCCCATCAGATTCCCTTTTCTAATCCATTCTGAATATTACTGCTATATTCATCTTCCTGAATTTCTGTTGTGTACTCATCAGACTTTCACGATGAAGACCTTTAAAGACACTCTTTTTTCTTCATTTCTGAATTTCTCTGTGTTGGCTTTTAAGATCTTTGTTCCATATTCTATTCTTCTTTTCCATCTCTGATGTGCAATATACTTTCATCAAATGGATCTCCTGTTCCAAGGCCTGCTAGTATCATTATGCTTTCTTTGCCCAGTGTTTTCTGCCCTTGACCATTCTCTCTCTTCTCTTGCTTCTTCTCTGAGACCTTCTCTGGTAGCCTGGTCCTTCTGATTCTTGTGAACTCCAATAACACTTGCTCCATACTATACAATAGTATAGTACAGTATACTATTCAACATGCCTTACTTGGTATATGTCTATCTTGCCTAAATAGTAACAATTTAGCTGAAATGTGAAAAATCTTTCCACATATGATGGCTGTGTATCACCACTACTTAGGAGGCTGAGGCAGGAGGATCACCTGAGCACAGGAATTTCAGGCCAGCCTGGACAACGTAGCGTGATTATTTCTAAACCAAAATGTCATGATCTTAATATCCAGGACTAGTTGGTATTAACTCTGAGGTATGTGGCACAGGATGTCATAATAATATTCCTCTTGTGTTTGTCTAGTTGTTAATAATTTACAAAGTAATTTCACAAAGGGAGATGTTAATCTCACTTCACAGATGAATTAAGGCTCATAGTCCCTTAGTATACACTATGTTTGTTTTGTTTGTTTGGTACCAGGGATCGAAATCAGGACCTCGCACTTGTGAGGCAGGCAGCAGCACCACTGAGTTAAATCCCCCAGCCCAACACTACTGGCTGTGGTATTGCTAGTCTTTAGTCTTTGATATTTTGAATCTTTTTTTTTTTTCTTCCTTCAGTATTGGAAATTGTACCCAGGGCCTTGAACATGCTAGGTAAGCACTCTATCACAGAGCTGCACACCCAGCCCTTCCTTTTTAAAATTTTGTTTAATTAGTTAATTACAAAGCTGGGTGTGGTAGCGTATGCCTATAATCTTAGCACTTAGGAAACTGAATCAGGAGGATCACTGAAAGCTCAAGGCTAGTCTAGGCTACATAGTAAGTTCAAGGCCAGCCTGAACTATTATATAGGGAGACCCTGTCTCAAAAAACAAAAAAAAAATATAATTATAATAATAAATTAATTGTACTAGGGATTGAAGCTGGAGCCTTTGTGCCGAGCTATATCCCCAACCCTTTTTATTTTGACACAGGGTTTCACTGAGTCTCTTAAATTGCCATAACTGGGCTCAACCTTGTGATCCTTCTGCCTCAGTCTCCCAAAGTACTGGGATTGTAGGCCTGCACCAATATGGCAAGCTTTTTTGTTAGTTTTGTTTTCATCCTTTTTGGGGGCGGATTGTTGAGACAGGGTTTCACTATGTAGTTGAGACTGACCTGTAGCTCATTATGTAGCCCAGGGTCTTGAACTCACAGCGATCCTCTTGCCTCAGCCTCCTGAGTGCTGGGATTATAGGCATGCGCCACTAAGCCTGGCATTTTCCTCATTTTGAGACAGTTTGACTAAACTAGCGACTCTCTTGCCTCAGCCTCCTTAGTAGCTAGGATTATAGCTATGTACCACCATGCCTATCTTATTTTGGATCTTTATAATACTGTGTAGAAGATAGCAAATAAACGTTGATTCGTGGCACTACTATGATGTAATGATACTGTCCTCCCTGTTGACAATTACCCGAAACCTGAAGACTGTTCACTTTTAAAGCTTGAACTTTTAAACTTGTTGCCTTTTAAAACTTGAGTGCTGTTAGGTGTGGTGGCACACACCTATAAACTCAGAACTCAGGAGGCTGATCTGACTTTAAGGCCAGCCTTGGACTACATAGACCCTGTCTCAAAAACAAACAAAAAAATCTTTAGTGCTTTGTTTTTTATTGGTCCTTAGGCTATGTATTGGCAATATGTACAGGTGGTTTAACATATCAAACTGTATTTTTCTCTGTTATTTATGTCTCGATATTAGGTATGTCTTCCTGTGATACATTTAGTCCTGCCAGTATTGCACCTCAGGGATGGTCTATACCAGCCCCAAACTCTGCACAGTCGGAATCCTTTGTTTCCCCAAAGGAGTTTGGGGAACCTCCACAGCTGGCCAGAGGTAAATCTCTCACTTTCACTGTCAGTTAATGCTTGCAGCATCTGTAATCAGTATAAATCATCAGGCATACTTTTAGCAGCGTACAGAAGATACAGATACATTTTCAGAACCATCGCAAATATTTTTAAGCTTATATTATTGATATAGCTGAGGGAATTTAAATTATAGGAGAACTATGATAGTTGGGATTTAGGAGCTGTAGGGGAAGGAAATTTTTGTGTGGTTGGTTTTTTTTTTTTTGTACTGGGGATTGAACTAAGGACATTGCCCTTATGAGGTAGGCACAGTGCCACTGAGCTAGATACCCGGCCCAGGAAAAGGAATTTTAATATTGTTCATTTTTCAAGATACATAGTTAAACTCAGAGTGAAAAATTACTGGCAGTTTTGTAATTGCCTGACAGGATTAATGCATTTGGTAAGTCTGAGCAAGTGGGACTTGGAGGGAAAGAAAAATAATGAGTAAGAGAGCTTTGGTAGTACATGCCTGAAAATCCCAACATTTTGGAGGCTGAGGCAGGATGGTTGCCTTGAGTTTGAGGTCAGCCTACATAATGAGCTCAAGGTCCGCCTGGACTGCGTTGTGAGACTGTGTCTCAAAAAAACAAAACAAAACAAACAAAAAAAGAAAAAGAAAAAAGAGAGCCTTAGTACATGGAACGTAGGCATGAGTATATTCACCTGAAACATCTGCTTTTTGGAAAAATCCCAAAATAAGGACTATGCATTAGTGGTATAATGGAGAGCATAGCTGTCTTCCAAAATAAAGACTAGACAGTACTATTAAAAAATCCAAACTCAAATTGGGATGGGGACCACAGAGCTCATAGGTTTCTTTCAGGAAGATTGTACCTCTCATAATTTTCAGCCAATAAAAAACGGAGAGGGGACAGGGATTTAGCTGAGTGGTTCTGCTGTCTTCCTCGAAAGTGCAAGGGCCTGAGTTCAATCCCTGGTACCAAAAAAACAAAAACAAAAACAAAAAACAACAGGGATAGGGACTTGTGTGTACCTATCCATCAGACACCAGGCTTGTAAAACTGACTGCATTGAACCCCCGCTTTTGCTGTCCTTCGTGGCTGTGGAGTCCTTGGGGTGGGGGCAGTTTGGACAAGTGAACCCATTTCTCACAGAAGCAAAGAATGCAGATTTAGGACTCTGGGGTTTTTTTCTTGATAGGACTGGTACAGACCAGATGTCTCACAGGTTTCTGTCCCACTACTGGTTCTGTAACATATATCTCGAAGCCTATATTTTCTCTCCTTTGCCTTTTCTCCTACACCACTCATCCTGTCAGATCATATATTTTGTTCCTCTAAGTGTTGGGATTGTCAAAGACCACACAGTATACATTAACTCAACTGCTTCTAACTGTGTTTTGTGGTCACAAAAGCCAGATACTCTTGTGGCCTGAGAAAGTAAATTTTGAATCCAGAACTGTTGAGTGGACAGCTAAGTGTTTATTTAAGGTCTTGATGTTTATTTCCCTTAGAGCTGGCCAAGGAGATAGAATTGGCATCAGTAGAAGACCAACCACTGATAACAGCATTGGATATGATGACAGGACAGAAGAAAACTGACATGGCACCATCTAGAGAAACAGAGGTGGCGCTGGCCGACATCATGGCACCAGCCACAGAAACTAAAGTGGCTTCTGCTAAAGATACAAAACAGCCCACCAAACTGGACGTGGCAGTAGTCGAGGACACATGGACATCCCTTGAATCAGATACATCCCCGGCCAAGCACGTGGCACTGCTCACAGAAACAGAGGCTGCTGCATTAAAGGACATCGTACCACACTCAGAATCAGATGTGTCTTTGGCCAAGGATGTGGCTCTACCCACAGAACTGGAAGTGGCCCCGAGCAAGGATGTGACAGAGAGAGCACCACTTGTACTGAAGGATTTGGCCCCACAGCAGGACATGGTTCCACCCACAGACTCAGAGATCACTCTTGGGAAGGAAGTGATGTCATTCTCGGAAATAGAGGCAGAACTGGCTAAGGACACTGTATCATCCATGGAAATATCTCCAGCCAAGGAGATGGCTTTGTCCTCAGAAGCAGAGGTGGCCCTGGCAAGGGATGTGGTCCTGTCCCCAGAAGCCCTGGTGGTCTTGACCAAGGATGTGGCTCTACCCTTGGGAACTGATGGGGTCTCAGTGAAGGATGTGGCTCCACCCCTAGGAACAGAGATGGGCTTGGGCAAGGGTATGACTTCACCCCTAGAAACAAAGGTGGGCCTGGGCAAGGATATGGCGCTCCTCCAAGAGACGGAAATGGCCCCAAGCCACCAAGAAACAGAGGTGGCTTTGGGCAAGGATGTGGTTCTGCCACCAGACACAGAGGTAGCCCAAGTAAAGGATGTGACTCCACTCGTAGAAAAGGTTGCAGTGCTGCCCTCTAGCACAGATGTGATACTGGCCAACAATGTGACCCCAGCCAAGGATGTCACTACAGCACCCTTAGAAACAGCGGTGGCAGCAGTTCTGAAAGACACGCAAGTGGCACAGAGCCAGGATGAGCTAAGTGAAGATCCTCAGCTAGAGTCTCTCCAGAGTGAGGCACAGTCCCCTGCACCTCCTGGCCTGATTTCAGCAGGTATGGGTCTCTGCTTACTCTTACTATTCTGAGGGTCTAATGTGCAGAGGACTACGGCACAGATGTCAGGCCAGGTAAAATGCAGGCAGGCTTGCTGTGCTGTCCAGTCTGTCACATTGCTCCTCTCCTTGGCAGCGCTTCCCCGTCTTCCCCTCCTCCAACTTCAGCATCTTGTCCATCTTTATTCTCTGCTGATATCTTTGGTTTTCTTCCATATAATTGAAGCAATAAAATGGAACAGCCACAGACTTTTCTTAACCCCACCTAGCTAGTGACTTGTATCTGTAGTCACAGACTCTGCCTTCTTTCCTGATTTCATAAGCCAATTGTTCTTACTGCTAATCAAGGCCAACCTTTCCTCTCACTTGGCACCAGTTTCCACCTCTTCTTTCCTAGTCAAGTATGTTACCCTATCCATTACACTCTTTCTGGCACTCACCAATTTTATACTCCTTCAAGTGAGGCATTCCCCCCGATATATAAACATTTGTAATTTTTCCCATCTCAGAAGACAAAAACCAGGTATGGTGGTACATACCTATAATCCTAGCTACTTGGGAGATTGAGGCAGGTGGATTTCAAGTTCAAAAAGACCCTGGACAATGTAGCTCAGTTCTAAAGAGAAAAATAGTCAAAAACAGATACCCCACTAACTCTACCTTCCATCTACCTCTCCACTTTTCTGCTGCCTTTTATTAGAAAATTCCTCAATAACAGTTCCTATCAGCAGTTACGGTGATATACACCTGTAATCCCCGTACTCAGAATTGAACCCCAGGGTCTTCACCCTGACCTAGAAATATTAGCCCTTTTAAATTTTTCTAAACTTTTTGCAACAAGGTCTTCTTAAGTTGCCCATGCTGATCTTGAACATGCAATCCTCTTGCTTCATTCTCCCAAAGTGCAGGGATTACAGACATGAACCACTACACTTGGCTTAAGCAGGAAGATCTTAAGGTCCTGGCCAGCTTGGGCTACATAGCAAAATCCTGTCTCCAAAGCAAAACAACACACACACACACACACACACACACCTATTTCTGTTCTCAGATCTGGTGGTTGCAAAAGTAGCTAAAATAATGTTTCTCTGAAATTTATACAGTTTTTACTATTACTTTTAGAACCATCCAAAGCCCCAGACGAAAAGCACAGCTTGCCAACAGATGAAGATTCTGGGTTAGAGAAATTAGAACAAAAGAAACCACTCAGTAGTCACCCTTCTGAGCCTTCTTCAGCAATTTCAGGTAAGTCAGGAAAACAGAGTGGGCTTTGTGAAGCAGCTTGACCAGGGAAGGATGGTGTGAGGATGGCACACCTCATCCCTCTCTCCCGGCTACACAGTGCTGATCAGCGGTATAGTGTAGGAAGCTGCTTTTGTTTCTTCAATAGCTTTGTTTAAGGCAGAAAATCAGCCTGTTAGGTGTTAAGTGCCGCTGTGTCAACTCAGGTCACTGAATTTTGGTCCCGCCCAGCTGCTCACTGTTCTCTGGTCATTGATATGTTACTTATGCAGCTCAGTTTACTCAGCTGTTAACTGAATAGATTGGTCAGCTGTTCTGTAAACCCTTGCTCCTTATATGTGTTCCCTTGGCTCTGTAGCACCCCACTGGCTGGGAATATGTTAGAAATTCAGGGTCCTAGGCTGCAGCTGGACCTTCCCAAGTATAATTCTCCTTTTAACAAGATCCCTGGATAATCTTTATATAAACTTTGAGACCAAAAAAAAAAAAAGGGCAAGGGATTTAGCTCAGTGGTTCTGCTGCCTGACTCGCAATCACAGGGTCCCAAGTTCGATCCCTGGTACCAAAACAAAACTAAACAAAACTTTGAAAGGTATTGCTCTAGGATTCTTTCTAATTTAAAGTTTGATTATTCAGTGATCTTTAAGGTGATATATTTTTGGTGATAAGCCAGAAAACTTAGGAACATGGTTATCAAATTTTTTATTTTTTTTGGTACCAGGGATTGAACTCAGGACCTTGTGCTTTCAAGGCAGGCATGGTGCCACTGAGCTAAATCCCCAGCCCGGTTATCTTTTCTTTTTTTTGAGACAGGGTCTCACTATGTAGTTGAGACTGACCTGGAACTCACTATATAGCCCAGGCTCATCTTGAACTCACAGCGATCCTCCTGCCTCAGCCTCCCAAGTGCTGGGATTACAGGTGTGTGCCAACACACCCAGCCCGGTTATCTTTTAATTTTTCCTTTTCTATAATTGTGATTGGGACATGAGCTCCTTGGCGACAGGGGCTGTGATTTATTTCACTCTGAATCACAAGTTTGCATTCCACCTAGCACCAGGTCGGAGCTAAATAAGTCAGTTCTTTAGTGTTGTTGTAGGGAATGTACATGTCAGTCTATTTTATTAAGTGCTTGCTAATTAAATACAAAATAGACCCTACTACAGTATATAGTTATGTAAAAACTAGTCCTTTCTCTTGAGTTATTATTATATTATATAACTTGTATGAAAAGAAAAGTTTCCAGGAATGAACTCTGAAAACAGATTTACATAATAATGGAAGAAAATAGAAAAAGAGATGGCATCAACTAGCTGCTGATTAATTGCCAAGTTAAATGTAAGCACTTGGAGATTGCTACAGCCTCAAAATTTGTGAGGGAAGCTGTAATTAACCTGAGATGTTAAGTTTATATAGAGTAGGATATGGACATTGGGCCCGGGGATTTAGCTCAGTGGTGCTCCACCTGCCTCACAAGCACAAGATCCTGAATTCAATCCCCAGTACCAGAAAAAAGAAAGGATGTGGACAAGAATAAAGGGGACTATTTTTACATATTTCAGAGCTGTTTGAATCAGCTCATTGGGTCAGACTTAGCAGCAGTGGTTGTAACCCTACTCTTCCTGAGACTTTTTCCAGGAGCTTGGATCCATAGTGTGATCCTGAAACTTTTCCAGGGATGTTCATCCTAATTATTATAATTGTTTTAAAATTATTTAACATTATCTGTATTTCTCTGACTTTTGGGAAGTACATTTAGGAACAGAACATTGAAATGTAACATCCTTGTCTTCTGAAGTAGAAAGTCTGGTTCTGGAATGATGAGAATTTTTCTCTGGCCAGAAATACTAATTCACTGTTATTTGTTTTCCTCTCTCTTTCATTTAAGTAGCATAAGGCTGGCCTTCTGGTCTACTTCCCAGAACCAAGCCGGGACTCATGTAATATTAGTGACAGACTCTTAGAATTGTAAATTCTGTCGAAAATTATGAATGTTTATTCAGTCAGTAAATGTCACGAAAAAGAGACAAGGAGGAGAAACTTAACCATCTTGTAGAATTGGGACTTAGGTATGAATTAAAAATAATGACAATAGAAATAAATTGAGATTTATTGGCAGTAAGTGTTTATTAAAGAGTTTAGAATTGAAACTTTTGTAAATATCTTTGAAATTAGTTTAGAAGATTTGAAAATTTTGTAAATATCTTTGATAAAAAGATCCATTCCTAGGATGATTCCCTCTGGTAAACCCAGTTAAGGGTGAAAACTGTTTGGAAAACTGTGATGGTGAAAATAGAATATTTAACTGAGTCACTAAATGAACTTTGTTGTTGTTAAGAAGCAATAACAAGGACTTTGTTGTTTGGAATTTTAGCTGACTTCATGTATTGCAGGTGCCTCTCCCACACAAGGCAGACAAGTTTGCAGACCCAGTGACCACAGGGCAGCCCGGCCCAGGCCTGCCAGGGTCCTTCCTGAGCTGCTGGGGGGCTCTTCTCCTTGGAAGACTCTTGAGCCCAGGCTGGGCCCTGGCCCTTGGGCTGAGTCAGATTGGGTCTCTCGCTCTTCTTTCTGTGGTGAGCCTGGGAGCCAAAAGAAGAGTGTTCACACTGACTGCCCTGAACCCCAGAGGGATCTTGGCAGGGACACCTGGGATACAGAAAGCACCCCAGGGATGATGAAGAAAAAGAAGAAGAAACCAAAGCAAAAGAGATATTCTCAACCCCGGGCAGGGGGACCCTGGGATGACGACAGCATGGATGAGCCTAGAAGTCACCCCTCTGCTTCTGGACCCCAGGAACCTGGGGTCCTCGCCAGCCAGTCTCCCACACTGAGCCCAGAATATGGATTTGTTGCTAAAGAAAACAGGAGAAGGAAGCATATGCTTGACTCCAGAGCAGCTAGACAGAGAGGTGAGAATGTCATCTCAGAGAGTCTTAGCGCTCCTTCATGTCCAGAAGAACCTCCAGCAACTACAGTTAGTGCTGAGCCTAAACTAAGAGTAGAGGAAGAGGGAAAAGATAACAGTTTGGCGCTGAAGAGCCAGGATAAGAAATTGCCACAGCATGATGAATACAAGCCAAAGCCTGTACCCCTCCTGAAGACTGTGGATAAAAGCCAGACAGGAGGCCTTGCTGGTCTGGAAGGACCCCTGACAGAGGTTCCTATGCACGCAATGGCATCTTCTTCGGAGACCAGACCCAAAGAGGATGTGACCTGCTCTCCTGTCTTGGAACAGAAGGTTATGGGTGGAGCTTCAAAACCCATAGCAATGAGAGAAATGCCTACTATTGCAGCCACATTGACAAGTAACCCACTAGAAAATAGTCTAAAAGAAGGGAATGATGGAAGTAAGATGACTCAGCTGCAAGACGTCAAACAGGAAGAGTCTTCAGAAGGAGTCAAAGAGGTTAAAGAACTAGAAAAGGAAGTGCTTCCTAAGCCAAGAGAAGAAATCAGCATCTTTGCTTTTGAACAAGCACATGGCCAAATGTTAGGTCAGGCCTCTGGGCGAGGAAATGAGCCATTGAAGAGAGCGACAGGTGATAGCAAAGGCAAGAAAGGGCGGGGAAGTTCTGGAAGAGTGAGGGGGTGTTCTGGGAAGATGAGAGCAAAACCAGAGGTGCCATTGCCTCTGGACTGTGGCAAGGATGGAAGGGCTGTTCTGGGGCCCAGTGAGCCTGTCCCCAAGACCGAAAGGGTGACTGCTGAGGAGAAGAGATCAGGGCTGGGGTTGAGTTCTTCAAAGCTACCAGCGACTGTGACTGGTCTCCCCGAAGCAGGGGTGGCAGGGGAGCCCAAGGAGATGACCAGCCCGAGGGTAGGAAGTGCCATGCAGGCCCTGAGTCCCCTAGAAAATGGATCAAGCTTGACTCAGCCTTGTGATGGCATAGAAAGAGGAGCCACAGTAAAAAATGTAGGCTTCACTAATCAGAGCAAGGAAGAAAAGTGGCCTTGGGTGGCCTGTGAGTCGACTCCCCAGATTTCTGAAAAGCCTAGAAAGAGAGATAATGAAGGCAAAACCAAAAAGTTTAAAAATAATTATCCCATACAGCCTACTAGAATAGAGGACAAAGAGGAAATCCTCACCCCATCTTTTGTAGGGAAGGATGGAGACAGTACTTGTAGTATTTCCCTGATGGGCCTCGTTTTCCCCAAAGCGCCAGACCCTGTGTTCTCACATACATCAGATGCACCCGTGGTAGAAGTAGTTGACAGAAAGGGTAAGAATGTTGAGGGTAATTCAGTTGAACTTGGGGCTCTCAAGGGGAGTAAAACACACACAAGCAAGGATTCTGCTGTTATTGACCCAGCTCCCAGGGTGACAGATGTGAGCTGCGCAGACCAAGCCCAGGTGGCAGGATTTGTTCCCTTAGTAGTGTGTGAGGAGAACAAGACCCATGCAGCCAAGGGCCACACAGCAGTGGCTGACAAACCAAATAACAGGAATAATGATGGAAAAAATAAAAAGATTAAAAGTAGTTTGCCCGAGGAGCACATTCTGGAGAATAAGATAGATACAGCAAAAATACATGTTCCCATGGAAACCTCGGGGAACCACAGAATGGAAGGAATGGATTATGTGGATGAAAACAGAAATATTACATTTACCTGTCCTGGCACATTCTCAGGGCTACTATCTAAGTCAGCTCCTCCACAGATTCTGGAGTCAGCACTCTGTGAAAAGCTGCCCCATCCTGTTTCTCCAGTAGTAAAGGAAGGGGATTCCTTACCAGACACTTTGGCAAAAAGTGGACAAGAAATAACCCCGGCCCCGAAGTCCACATTATTAGAAGATAGCTGCAAGAAAGATGGAGTCCCACGGCAAGAAAGACCCAAGGCCCCCTCTGCTGTTATGCCCTCTAGAAGCAGAGCAGGAGATGTCCCACTTTCCACAGCAGCCATGGAAACAGTTAACAGTCATGGAGATCCCTGGCAAAAGAATAAAGGTGAGCTTGATGATCCCATGAAAAATGAAGCAGGGGCAGATGAGGGGCGAGTGGTAGGAGAATCTGAGTCGGGACACCACGATGCCTCTCAGTGCTCAGTTGGGCAAACTGCAGAGCCAGCAACACGAGGTCACCTTCTTACTGAAGTGCCTGCAGACGAGAGCCTGCCAGGAGAGGCCCGAGGCCTAGGAGCAAAGGCAGACAGGGGTGGCTCCCCAGCATCTCCAGTGAACCCAGAGCAGGTAACTGAGAGAGGCTCTGTTCCAGCCCAGGTTCCTGACTCATTGGGAGACAAAGCACAAAAACTCAACTTCTGTGAGGACCAAAATGCTAAAGGTAGAGATCCCAGGGCCTCAGATAGTGTGGAGAAGGAGGTAGATTTGACTGTTTTGCCTCCAAAAGGTGAAAAGGATAAATCAAAAGTAAGTAGCCCAGCTTGTAAAGTCACAGAATTGGAATGTGTTTCCCGGCCAACACCAGAGCTCCATTCCAGTTTCTCATGTGTCACAGTTGAAGTTCCTCCTGCAGAGATGGATGATGAGTTAGTAATGACTGCTTCTAAGGGTCTCCAGCTCCCAGCACTCAAAGATAACATTGTAGAAGCACCTCAGAAAATGACAGAAAAATTGGAGCCAAAGACACTGTCCAAAGAGGGAAGGGAAGATAAAGGCAGAACAGCAGAACCAATGAAAGGCTACATGAGACCTACCAAATCCCGAGGATTTACTCCACTTTTGCCAAAGTCTGCAGTCCAGGAACGAGAGAGATCCAGGCAAACAAAGTCCATTGGTATGAGCCTGCCATGGAGAAATGTGTGTGCTTGTGACTTGAATCAGCATCCACAAGGCAAAAGTTTGTGCCTTGTTTCTGTCCAGACTCTAATTATGCTCAATAATCACTGGTTTGTTGGCATGAAAACCTGTAACTGCTACTTAACGTGCTTTCTGCAGCCAAGGCATGCCTCGTGTTTAGCTTGAGAAGGCTTGGATGCATGCCTCTAACTCAGCACCCAACCTTGGGTTTTAGGTGAAGTTGAATAGAAATCCTATTACCACCCTATTCTTAATCTAGAAAACAAATTGTGCCTCCTAAGGAAGGAGGATAAATCTTAGTGGTAGAGTACTTGCCTGTGATGTGTGAGGCTCTGGGCTCAGTCCTCAGCCCTCACTCTCAGAAAAAAGTAAAAAAGTGCTTCCTATGTGAAAAGTTTACAGCCAAATTTTAATCATTATTTGGTATAAGGATGCACAGGAGGAAAGAAAATACTCAAGTCTAGCTTAATATATGAATTTGTGTGTGTGTGTGTGTGTGTGTGTGTGTGTAGCTTGTGCTGATGAAACAAAATATCTAAACTGCTTTTAGTTCAAATAAAAATGATCTGTGTTCTTCTGTGACTATGGCGGCCTCAGACCAGCGTTGTAGTCACAGACTTCATTTCTAGTAGTGGAACACAAGGTCTCAGTGATGTTCTCTGACCAGCTTGCTGCTTATGGCTGCTGGCCCACGGTTGCAAGCAAGTTAGTTTTGGGCATACTCCGTGTCTGTGAAACAGTCTGCAAGACTGGTTCACGTTAGATTCTTAGTAATTTTGCCCTTTTGGACTTTAACCAAATTCGAATGAAATTGATGTGGGGCATGAACCATGTGCCTGTAGTCCCAGCTCTCGGGAAGCTCAGGTAGGAAGATCACTATGAGTTCAAGGCCAGCCTGAACTGCACAGCAGATCCTGTCTCAGTCAGTCAATCCATCAAATAAAGAAAGAAGCCAGGTGTGGTAGCATAATACCAGCACTTGGAAGACAAGTGAGTTCGAGGCCAGCCTGAACTACACAGTGAGACCCTGCCTCAGAAAAAGAAAGAAAAAAAGAATGAGTGAAATTGAAGTGATTCATAAAGATTTCAAAATAATCTTTTATCCCCCTGAAAAGCATACACTTAAAATAATGACTTTCTGAGCCTAACCTTCAAAAGTTGTTTCTTTGCCTTTGAGGATTTTCACAGTCCACAAATGATACTGTCTCTCTTTTTTGGTACCGGGGATTAAACTCAGGTCCTTGTGCTTGCAAAGCAGGCCACCAAACCGCTAAGCTAAATCCCCAGCCCATGATGCTGTCTCTTAATCACAGTTTCCCAGCATGTATGATGCAGCCGCTAACTAGAAATTTTAAAAGTAGAAGCCACAACAAAAGCACTCGGGTTGATCTTAGTGTGCCGGTCCAGCTTCTGCAGAGTCTTTGGTGTGAGAGTGTGTTCTGCATGGTGTGGGCCTGTTCTTGGGGGTGAGCTGTGCTATGCATGGATTTGGACCCAGTAAGGAATACTTGCTGTGAATGAAAATGTGAACCATGGTTATTTACATACGAAATTCTCATGATTTCTGCTTTTCCCCCTTCCTCTAGCTACCCTGTCACCAAGGCAGAAATGCAATACAGTCATGTGTAGAGGGCCTTCAAGCATCCTACCCACATCTTTAGTTTGGATTTCTAAACTAGCTGCTTAGTTTTAGCAGTGATCCAAAGGGTAACATGTAAATTTCATGAAAACCTAGCCTGGATTTCCAAAGAAACACTTTTTTACTCAGTTTTGTTGTTTTGGCTGGTTTTTATTTGTTCCTTTGCAGCCCTGGGGATTGAACCCAGGGTCTTCACACTGAACTACATCTCTAGACTTTGTTTTTGTTTTTGTTTTTTGAGACAGGGTCTCATTATGTAATTGAGACTGACCTGGAACTCACGATGTAGCCCAGGATGGTCTTGAACTCACAGCAAGACTCCTGCCTCAGCCTCCCGTGTGCTGGGATTACAGGCGTGCGCCACTATGCCCAGTTTAACTTTTTTTTTTTTGGTACCTGGGATTCAACTTGGGTCCTTGCACTTGCAAGGCAGGTTGCAGAACCACTGAGCTAAATCCCAGGCCCTCTTTTTATAATTTTAAACTTTGAGATAGGGTCTTGCTAAATCTCGAAGTTACCCAAGCTTAACTTGGGCTCCAACATGCAGTCTTTCCGCTTCAGCCTCCTCAAGTGCAGGGATTGTAGTCTTTGTAGAAAGAGGGTTCGTTCCTCTTGGGAAACAGAAGTGCTGCAGAGGTTTCAGGCCTGCTTTGGGCAGGCCAGCTCAGGGAGTGTTCTGGGGGTGACCTGATGGAGTAGTTGAGGGGTTGAGGGTGAGGGACGGTGGGTAATGAGGTTGAGATAAAATGGTTTCCCTGTCAAGCCTTTTCTCTATGGACATTTTGTGCTTTGTTTTTTGGCAGGGTCTGTTTTCAGGATGGCCTTGAACTCCCTACGTAGCCCAGTAGGCCTTGAACCCTCAGTCTTGGATGCCGGGACAGCATGCCTGTCAATGTTCCATATTTCTTAAGCTGATTTTTGCTAAGTTGTGAATAGGTTGGCACTGTTACATGATACACAGGAGTATGCAGTAAGTCTAAGTCTTCTATCCTCCAACTTTCACTGTTCAGAGGAAGATAATTGTAAAAGTATTTTATACATCTCCCCTTGCCCTATTGTTCTTTTCCAGAGTTGTTCTGAGGATTTTTGCTTCTTTATTGTTATAAATAAACTAGAGAGTTGGCTTCTATAGTTCTGTTAAAAAAAAAAAAAATCTAGTCAATGTATTTTTTGGAATGGCAACATTTCTAAACTATCCCAGGGAGCCAGGCCTGTTAATCCCACCACTAAGGAAGCCAAGGCAGGAGGATTGCTGTGAGTTCGAGGCCAGCCTAGGCTACATAGTAAGACCCTGTCTTTAGATAAATAATCCCAGGTGCAGGTTGGATTTTTCTCTTCAGCAGCATAATGCCGTTCACACTTCCAAGAGTTACCTGTCACTGTATGGTGACATTTCTCCTGACAGAGGCTGTGTGTTTTTAGCATAGCTTATTCCAGGGTGTCCAGCAGAGGCTGTACAGGTGCTAAGCTACAGGTGAGCTTACGGCTCTAACACAGTCGTATGTGCTGCGTACTGGACCAGCCTTTGTAAATGTCAAGGCTGAGACCCTGTCTTTAGATAAATAATCCCAGGTGTAGGATTCACTCCTCTCTGAATCATCAGTGTTAACTGATCTTCCATATTTTGTCCTCATTTGTGTTGTGGTCAGATAATGTCACCCATGGTTTCCAGTATTTCATGAGTAAAGATATTAGTGGTGTCAAGAGAAATAATATCGTATACTGAGTGAAGATTGTGTGTTATCTGTAGGTAGATAAGAGATAAGGTTAGCTGGTCTTTGTTCTGTCCCCCACCCCCAACCTCTCAACACTAGAAAGGATTCTCTCCATTTTACAAGTGAGAACATGGGCATTCTCAGGTTTAATGCCATACAGATAGTGAAGTGACCGAGCTAGAATTTGTACCCAAGTCTCTGTCTCTCTCTTTTCGAACTCAGGACCTTGAGCTTGCAAGGCAGGCGCGGTGCTACTGAACCAAATCCCCAACCCCAGTACCCAAGTCTCTTAAGTCTAAGTCTCATGCTTTCTTCATTCTCCCTTTAGAATAACTTTCCCAAAGTTTTAGGTTCCTCTAAAGAAAAAGATGTGCATTGGCAATTAGTTTTTATTTTTTTGGTACTGGGGATTGAACTTGGGTCCTTGTGCTTGCAAGGGAGGCGGCACCACTGAGCTAAATTACCGTCCCAGCATTGGCAATTAGTATTACGTATTTTTATTTTAGTTTCTAGGTACCAGGTAAATTCTTTTTAGTTAGAGATGTAAAGCCGCACCATGATGAAACAGATTAATTCAAGATTAGCGTCTAGGTCATTGGACTCAATCTAGCATTTTATTCTTTTTTTTTTTTTTTTTTTTTTTTTTGGTACCGGGGATTGAACTGGGGTCCTAGCGCTTGTGAGGCAGACAGCAGAACCACTGATCTAAATCCCCAGCCCTAGCATTTTATTCTTTACATAGAGTCTGTGGTGGATTTGTGTTTCACTCTTCGTATCCAGTATAATATTTTACATGTATGTGGTGCTTAAATGTAGGTTCTAAATATAAATGAATTATCTTCTTTTGACCTTACTCTGTTTTAAAGGTGACAAAATGGATATATTGTTCTAGATGCTCCCACCTACTGTTTTCTCTCCTGTTCCTTTGTCAGGCCACTCTGAAATTTAGGGCAATTTAAGCAGAAGGCTTATTCGCATATCACATACATTATGGTAGACAGGGAAAATTAACAAAACACTTAGGAAGCTGATGCTCAATCTGTCAAAAAAGACCTTCTTGCCAGGCATGGTGGCACACATCTGTGATCCCAGCACTTGGGAGGCTGAGTCAGGAGGATTGCCATAAGTTTGAAGACAACTTGGGCTCCGTAGTGAGTTTGAGGACAGCCTGAACTACATAGTAAGACCCTGTCTCAAAAAAAAACAAAAAAAAAAGCCTTCTTGTGGACAAGAAGCACAGACTGAAAGGATGTTTCATGTTGGATTCTAGTATCTGCTCTGTGTTAGCTCTATCCTTGGAAACTGAGAGAATGGCAGTGCACATAGGGTGTTGTTATGGAGGCAAGATGGTTAGAGACCCCTGGAAGGAGGCCGTTCCTTTGTCATCCTGAAGCCTGGTCTCCTTTTTATCTGGCTTCATTTCTGCTTCTTTAGCTCATCAACTGTCTGCCAGCATCTGGGAATGTCAGTTTATCGTGGGAAGTTCTCTTGGTGTGAAACTCAAAGTAATTTATAAACCCAGAATCCTAACAGTTTCAAGGTCCTTGTACATAAATAAAACATGCTCAACAGATGAAAAAAATCATTTTGTAATCTTAGAACTTGCTACTATTTTACAACTGG